TAGGGGCCAGAGTCTTCGGGAAGGACCTGGAAGGGGGCGTGGCCAAGGGGGGAACCCAGCCACTCCGCGGTCCATAAAGGCCGAGTCCCGAGCCCCAATCGCGGCTGTTCTCTGGAATCAACCCTCAGCACTACGTCTCTCCGATCTTCGGTCTCCGCTCGACATCGTGGGTCCGTCAGGATGTTACCGACTGACCCGGTTATGCAGTTATCCTGTTGGGGTCGAGTTAACGTGTGTCCGTTCATGTAGTTGGCCCTGTTGGGGCTGTGTAATAAACGTGTTGCCTCCAAGTCAAGTGTGTGCCTCAGTGAAGAACACTACACTTCTACAACACATACGTTGTAGAAAGAAACCTGTATATACATATATACCTTTAAGTACACACTCGTGTATGTACACAATCATCTATGCAAGCATAAACGTGTACACACACCGATATGCAATCACACCTATAAGACAACACACCCAAATAGTGCGGGTGGCTACATACGGTTAGAATGGAGTTCAACATACATACATACCCATACCTGTACACACACAACTCTACACCGTACTGGACACAGATGCGCGGTTACACATATGTAAATAGGTACACGTGCACACTCCCTTGTGCATGTACACTGGCTGACATATACCTGTGTGCACAATGCGTCTTCCGCAGCATATAGTTGTGTGTATACATACTGCACACACACAGGTGTACGGTGTGAGTACACAAACTGTCTGTGTGTATACATACTGCACACACACAGGTGTACGGTATGAGTACACATACTGTCTGTGTGTATACATACTGCACACAGGTGCACGGTGTGAGTACACAAACTGTCTGTGTGTATACATAGTGCACACAGGTGTACTATGAGTACACAAACTGTCTGTGTGTATACATACTGCACACAGGTGCACTCTATGAGTACACAAACTGCCTGTGTGTATACATACTGCACACAGGTGTACTATGAGTACACAAACTGTCTGTGTGTACATACTGCACACAGGTGTACTATGAGTACACAAACTGTCTGTGTGTACACATACTGCACACAGGTGTACTATGAGTACACAAACTGTCTGTGTGTACACATACTGCACACAGGTGTATGGTGTGAGTACACAAACTGTCTGTGTGTATACATACTGCACACAGGTGTACTATGAGTACACAAACTGTCTGTGTGTATACATACTGCACACAGGTGCACTCTATGAGTACACAAACTGTCTGTGTGTATACATAGTGCACACAGGTGTACTATGAGTACACAAACTGTCTGTGTGTATACATACTGCACACAGGTGTACTCTATGAGTACACAAACTGTCTGTGTGTATACAGTGCACACACACAGGTGCACGGTGTGAGTACACAAACTGTCTGTGTGTATACATAGTGCACACAGGTTTACTATGAGTACACAAACTGTCTGTGTGTATACATACTGCACACAGGTGTACTCTATGAGTACACAAACTGCCTGTGTGTATACATACTGCACACAGGTGTACTATGAGTACACAAATTGTCTGTGTGTATACATACTGCACACAGGTGTACTATGAGTACACAAACTGTCTGTGTGTATACATACTGCACACAGGTGTACGGTGTGAGTACAAAAACTGTCTGTGTGTATACATACTGCACACAGGTGTACGGTGTGAGTACAAAAACTGTCTGTGTGTATACATACTGCACACACACAGGTGCACGGTGTGAGTACAAAAACTGTCTGTGTGTATACATACTGCACACAGGTGTACGGTATGAGTACACAAACTGTCTGTGTGTGTACTCATACTGCACATAGGTGTAAGGTGTGAGTACAAACACTGTCTGTGTGTATACATACTGCACACAGGTGTACTATGAGTACACAAACTGTCTGTGTGTATACATACTGCACACAGGTGTACGGTGTGAGTACACAAACTGTCTGTGTGTACATATTGCACACAGGTGTACGGTGTGAGTACACAAACTGTCTGTGTGTACATACTGCACACAGGTGTACTATGAGTACACAAACTGTCTGTGTGTACATAGTGCACACAGGTGTACGGTGTGAGTACACAAACTGTCTGTGTGTATACATACTGCACACAGGTGTACGGTGTGAGTACAAAAACTGTCTGTGTGTATACATACTGCACACAGGTGTACGGTGTGAGTACACAAACTGTATGTGTGTACATACTGCACACAGGTGTACGGTGTGAGTACACAAACTGTCTGTGTGTACATACTGCACACAGGTGTACGGTGTGAGTACACAAACTGTATGTGTGTACATACTGCACACAGGTGTACGGTGTGAGTACACAAACTGTATGTGTGTGTACATACTGCACACAGGCGTACGGCAGGTGACCACATGCGTGCAATGTGTTCGCACACCTGCACACCTGTACACCTGTGTGACGCGGTAGACAATGCCAGCGATGCTGGAGCTGACAGCGACGAAGCAGACAACAGGTGACAACAACAACAGCAGCAGCAGTAAACGACCCCCCCCCCCCCCCCCGTGCACGCAGAGCGTGGGGCCAGCGAGCGGAGTGCGGTGCTCCCTCACCGGCGGCGGAGGCTCTCCCTGCCGGGCCCCCGTCTCCTCCTCCTCGTCCTCCTCGTCCCGGGCCGCCAGGGCCTGGCTGCCGTCACGGCGGCGCGGCACAGCTGGACATGCTGCTGCTGCTGCTGCCGCTGCTGATGATGCTTCTGACGACGATGCCGCTCCAGCGGCTGCTGCTGCTGCTGATGATGATTGGGATGGGGGCCGCAGGAAGTGACGACACAAGCCCGGGGGGAGGGGGCGGGGGGACAGCGCTTCCGGGTAGCCATGGCTGCCGCCGCCCGGAAGTGAGAGCCCGCGCCGCCATCTTGGTTCGGGATAGCCCGACCCGCTGTAACGCTGTTGTATGTATTTTAGTTTGTCTTTAAATTAGAACTCGTCTCGTACTCGTCTTAGTTTGCGCCATTCGGGTGAAAAGAAAAACATACTTTGTAATCACCAATGGGATATTGTTTGGACGGGAACAATTTTCAGCGTTGATTATATTGATTCGGCGACCCGAGGGAGGCATTGGGTCTGGCCATGAGGATGTGGATTTGAAAAACAAGAATTCTCAATATGGAAATGAGGACCCACATCATCAGCAGTGCTTTAGGAGAACCGCACCGTGCTCGTCTGACTCCTTCATTAACGCCTTCCCACTCGGCGTTTGTCCACGAGCTGTCCATCCACCGCAGGCCCCTCGCGGCAGGAGAACTCGCAGAGTGCCCGAGACACCAACAATGTCCACGAGGTTGTTTTGGGTGAGATCGCGTCAATAAAAGTGTCGCTAAGCCCGCCGCCACCACCGACACAGCCAATTAGGTTTGCCACGTAAACAGAACGTGCCAATACTGTAAGTTGCAACCTCAGCACACTGGTGTGTTGCAGAGTAAAGCCACTATTTACAATTCGAGTATGACGTCTTGCTGGTGATGACAGTCTGCTTGTGGGTTCACTCTCCCACTACACAGGTGTACCGAAGTAGTCACGAATTGGCACGTTTTGTTAACGTGACAAACCTTGCTAATCGGCTGTGTCGAGCGGTGGCGGGTTTAACAACGCATTTATATTTACGCGATCCAACCCAAAACAACGTTATCGTGGATATTGGTCGCGAAAGCTCAGGTGTTAAATTCACCAACATTGTCCTTGTAACGCAGGCTTTGCTAAGAGCGACTTGGTGCAAACTGCCCGGCGTAGGCGCTGCGTTGTTCTTCAGCTCTTGCGAGAGGACACGCGTGTGTGTGAAAGTGTTCACAGAATCCATGCGTGTGCGTGGTTTTTTCTTGTTACAACCAAATTGGGGGATGCTGTTGACGTAGTAAAGCTGTAGCGTAGCCCGTTTGGGGCTTTTGCCGTAAAGGTTTGCGGCTGGGTTCTCAGTGGCCGTCCTGATTAATACTGCGGGCGTGTTGACCGTATGCTGTATACCGCTACACGCCGTGTGCGTCAGTGGACATTACAGGTCACATGATCATTGTGACGGAATCAACCGTCGAGGTGTGATGTAAGGTGCTTTTCGTTGATCAGAGACGTGAGGACATGCAGATGTGTATAGGTTTTTGAATTCACAGTATACATACACTGCATACGTAGTCTTCCTTTCAGTCTGTGAACTACTTCAGATGACATCACATGTATTGCAAAGCTTGGCACGTAAATTATGTAATGTCGGCCTTTGAAGATATTAATTTTCTAAAAACCAAAATTATGCCATTGAAATGATGCAATTGCAATGATGTCACTTTCATGCCAGGAGCAGGTGTCTACTTTACAACACATACGCCTTGCTTACTACATTTCTTGCAGTGAGACAAAGCATTCTTGGGAAAGGGCTCTGCAAGACAAATGAAAGTGGTTTTCAAGAGACACAATAGGGTGTGCATTTTGAATTAAAATTATCTGAAAGCAATAGCAAAGGCATTTGGTTGAATGTGTGGCTCTAAGGCTTCTGTCCTGTTCATGGCAGACATTGTGGTCTTAACCTCTGACCTTTTCGCCTGAAAAGAAATCCCAGGCAAGAGGTGTTGGTAATGAACCATTTCTGGACATTTCATTAACATTGGTCACTAGGTCAAACAGATATTGGGAAGAGACAGGCATGGCTACTTTATCTTAATAGTGAACAAAATAATTACAGTCGTGGATAATTTAAGTAACAATAAATACGCACACAATACACCTCTTGTATCTCCCTCCACAAGTCATCCTGACTGCTGATGAGACAGTAAATGTCGAAATAGGTCCAGAATTTGCTTGTGTTGTACAAATGCTACTGAAGTGATGCATTCCCAGGTGGCTGCGGCTGATGGGATGTGTAAAACATTCTTCTTTGGAAGGTGGATTATTAAAGAATAAAAAATGTCCGGAGATATTTTTCTGCACATACTATATTTATTATTTACAACATTCACAGCTACACAGGGTTTATGCACATAAAAAAAAAAATTTTGCCCTATTTGCTAAATTGTTCAATTTCCAAAATGACAAACATGTCTAAAATATACTATTCTACACATCTTATTTCATTCAAATTAAAATAAATACACTTTGTATTTCCATTGGAATCATTAACCAAGCGGCATCTCATTCCTGAGTTTAACGTGCTCTTAGCACCCCAACAACCGACCATTCATCACGTGGTAATGACCAAAGGGAAGTGCTCGACTTTGGTTGGCTGGTAGGGCCGTGGGAAAAGGGTGCAGCTCAGGAATGAGCTTGGGAGCGATACGCGCAAGGGCTTTTTGTTTCCTACTGGTGCCAGTGTGCGCCTCTGCATAGAGTGGTATGTTGGTAAATGTTGCATAAAAAGAAGGCTGCCGTTCAAGCTCAGGACTGATGAGAAGGAAAAAAATGCAGAAAAGTAAAACAAACAAGTTGCTTGTGCCGTTTTCTCTAACGTAACCTTGTTTAACCGAGATTCACCGTGACCCGCGGCATGATATGATGGATAGAAATCACTCTGCCACTGATGGAAGAAAATATTGTACACATTTGAAATGTTAATGTACAAATCCTGTGCTGTGTTTCGCGTTGAAAGGAAGAGAGCTGACTCTATACAGGGTCTAGCAGACCCTGTAATCCACGGGGCAATGTGATTTTATCGCTAACTTTTTTACAGATTACAGAAATGTAGAGCCACCCTCCAAAAAGATCCAATAATTTGCAAAAACTCATAAATGTAAGGTTATTCGCCCGCGTCGGATGACCGGAGTTTCCGCGAACCGTAGGGGCGCCACAAATAACAGGATTTGGAAATTATCGTACCATTTTTATAGTTAATTTAATGCAATGGTCAATATTAGAAGATGTATTTGTGCAGTCAGGATCATCTTATTACACAAGTCTTTTAAATGCAAAACAATAATTGCATGCATCATAATAAAACATCACATCACTAAAATTATTCTAATAAAGAGAAAAATAATTGCATCTGTCATGGAACATCTCATTTACCCACTCTTCAGAAATTCAGAAAATTGAATTTCATGCAACAGTTCTAACAACAGTTCTAACACTGTTGCATACATCATCAGCGTATGGTTTGGCAGAATTGAGTATGAAAGCATATTGGGGTTTTTTTCCGGACAATCACTGCCAAAAGGACTCAGACCGTCGAATTTGCCACATGGTGACCTCTGCGTGGTGTCGGTAATAATCCAGGACTTGAAGCCAGCATCTAAGAAGTTCTGACCTAGGAATTAAGTATAACTGAATGATCTAAGGTTCATGACAATCACCTCCCATTGATAGTGACTGAAAGTGGCTGGAACAACCACAGATGGCATAAGAGTGGTGACAACCACTCAAATATCCCCTCTGCTTAGGAGAAAGGCAGGCCCTCACTGACCGGCATATTGATATGAGCAGTCAGAATTGGTATGCTGCTTCCTTCACGGACTGCAAACACCTGGCATTGAACATTAGAAATTAACAGACAGCAAACAACTGGATTTTAACATTGAAACAGACAGGGTTCAACTATGAAAATGAAGTGACTACATCCAGAAAATACAAATGCTTATAATGTAATAAACATGTTTAAAAAAATGTTGCACTGTAATCATTAAAATAATAATTGCCCATTACATGAACTGATTAGTAAAACATACCTTAATGATGTCAGAGATGCCTTGGTCACTACGACACTCCACAAAGGTCTCGATTGGGTAATTTAGTCCAGGAACCAGCATTGGAAGCTAGAGAAAAGCATACATACAAAAATATAATGTATATTTGTTCCTCAAAATATAATTCAACAATTGTTTTTTTGAAAAATGTTTTCAACAATCCCACCTTGAAGAAGGCTTGAGTCATAGAGTACAGGCGCTCATCATATGAGAAGCAGACAAAGAGTCCCACGCAGGGACGGCTTGGCGATGTATTCTGCAAGTTCAGCGTCAGTTTAAAGTTGGGGCCAATGCCCTGCACCTGCACGCACCACACAGCGGTCCTGATGTCAAGGGATGTCTACACAGACCCCTGTAAAGTGATGCAGAGTAATTACATGCAATTATGATGCACAAAGTCATCCTATCACAAATCATTCTATAATCATGTTTGCTGTCTGCAAGTGAAGCTCTATTCTTCAACATGAAGATAATTTGCAAGTGCGCTCCGTGCCCCCTCTAGTGGACAAATCTAGTAAATGAGATTATCCAACAATATAGAATGCAAACATGACTCCTTGTAAAAAGGTGTCAGTTTTGTTTCCAGATAGAAGGGTAAAAAAATCAATTATCATATTTTTACTGGCAAATGAGGTTCCCATAGTGTAGATGCTTGCCCCGAGCTCTCATACTCTGATGGTGCATTGTCTTTGAGTTGTGCGCCTTTTGGCGTCATCTGGTCCAACCCATGTGAGACTAGGCTCTAAGGAAAGCTGTCCCGGGTGTGGACCAATCAACTTCAAGGACAGTGCACATTATCAGAGTTATGTCTTTTGTTTGTATTATGACTGCAGGTATTGCGGTCTATGCAAACATGACTCCTTGTGAAAAGGTGTCAGTTTTGTTGCCAGATAGAAGGGTAAAAAAAACAATTATCATATTTTTACTGGCAAATGAGGTTCCCATAGAATATAGAATGGAATTCAAACTAAACAATTTATGACAATTACAACTAAATTGTCAGACCTGGTGGATGCACTGAGAGAGGGGAAGAGGAACACACGTATTAGGGATCAAACGCAAGTAAGATACATCATATACGGTTGTTTTATCATTTCTGTTAACTTCGGTCCTTTATTTAGTTTGGTTTGCTTGTCATTTTGGGGACCCAGGCCACTCTTCTGAATGAGACTATCCTATTACCTCGAGTTCTCACCTGGTTAACCAAAGTTAACTTCATGAGAATAAAACACAACTGAGAAGACATCCACTGCGAATTGGGAGTAATTAAATTAGCTCCTGTACAGGTGCTAGATTAATTGTTGCATCGTAAGACCATGCCAGATGTCAATTGCTTGGGAAGGCTTTCAGCTAGCAGTTGCTAGATCGTAACTTATAAAGATGATCGGACCAGGAGAAATGGCAGAAATTAAGGTTATACTTATATTACACGTAGGTGTATGGACTGGACAAGGTCGGGCCTCGAGATAGGTTTGGATCAGAGAAACGTGCACATGGGCGAGGAATGCACGCACCGTGGCGTTCAATTTGAGCGGCTCGGCGAGGCTGGAGGAGACGGGCGCGAGGCAGGAGTCCAGGGCCTTCATGTAGGCACGTGCAGCCTCCAGACGCAGGCGATACAGATCCGTTTGAAACACCCGGTGCATGGCTGGGAATGTGCGTAACGGACAGCAAGTTGCAAGAAAGGTTTGAGGGAATCGCTTAATGAAGTAACTACTCATCCAATGACTAAATAATTAACTTAAACTCTATATATTTGGTTATAGGGAAGTAATAATCCAACCCCTGCACAATTCTATTAACTGTCACAATTTGTGGTCACGTAGGTGTCTAAAATACTCCCAGAGGAACTAGCTACATATCCCCAGGCGGGTCCTGAGGTCTTGAGATTCAATAGACGTTTCGCCTGAAAAAAGGTTTCATTATTAACACACTCAAATAACAGAGACGTTTGGAAAGTACATGCCATGCAATGCGGATTCTAGATGGTGGTGGCAGTCTTTGTGAATGTGTTGCACATTGTACAGTGCCATGCTCCAGGTTGAAGCTGGAAAATTTGCGATGGCATTTGGATATATCATGAAAAATGGGTCTCGTCTGGTCAAAGTAAAAAGTGAAATTGTCTCCGTGCTCAATCGAGCAATGGAATGGTGCTAATTTCCACTGGCAGCCCTGAAGCAGCGACGGAAATTCAACATTCCCATGTAGGGGGGCCAGCCTGCACACTCGGCAAGCACTGTCGAATTTCCACAAAATCCTGAACCGGATTCAGACCCGCATGTGTCTGATTGAGATGGCACCCTAACCCCAGTGAAATGGAGTTGATGTGTATTTTCGCCCCCCGATTAGGAAGACGCACAAACGGCACACTCGCGCTCGCGTAGCGTCTGATCCACGTAGAGCTTGGTCTTCTTGGGCACGTTGAGCTTGATGTTCTGCGCCACAGGGGGCCCCAGAGTGGCGTCCTTCTCCTCAAACACTGCCGTGCGCTTTAGAATCTTGATGGCCAGGCCACCACCTGTCAAAGACGAGGAAGACATTGCCTACAGTTATCCTGATCAATGTAGAAATTAACACATCATCAGTGTCATTGTAAACAACACATGCAACAAAACAAATGTGCAAGCAGTACACCTCCTACCCAAATCTGTCTCTACACATACAAAATAAAAGTATATATTTTTTACACAACCTATTGGCCACATGGCCTTCTGACAGTGATTTATTTCCAGCAACATTGGCTTATTACAAGTAAACTCAGCACAGGTTTTTGCAATCAACGTCTCATCAACAGGGTCAGGCTTGTTTAAACCAATGCTGGTAAACTATAATTTTTTTATGCAAGGGTGCTCTCTATTAGCTATGGGTTCTAGTTCAATGCAAAACTATATAAAATAGAGGTAAAACAATACCATCCCACACATATACATATCATATATGTATTAACATAATCCTACATACGTGAGGGTAAGTGCTACCCACTTCCACACCAACATGAATCTCTCGTGCATCTGCCTTACCCTTGGTGGTCATGACCAATGTGCTGTCCTCCCGGCCATATCTGCCGAAGCAGACGCTGGTCACTACATCCTGTGAACAGCAAAGACCGCAATTAATCAGTGGTGAATGTCACCCATGTCAATTACTAACTTGGCATCATAACAAAGACGTTAATGTCACAAATTTCAGCAGCGTTATAGATGTTCTCAAACTCACAATTATGGTTCTCTCAAACCAAATACTTTACACCATTATTTGAGTCTTCAAAATCCACTTCCCTGTTTTATAAAGGCAATGATTATACCGTAGGCACTTAACATTTTCTGTTGAGAACAATTTATTGTTCGTAGACTTGTTTACCCAGGAAAGGCTTACTCAGTCTCATGGCTCTTTATCAGTACCGTCCTGCCAAGTTTTATCAGTCAGGGGCAATGACTGCTATGAAGATTTCAACTGAGTAAATTACAGGTAATTATAATTTTTAAATTTGGACCGGGAGGCCGGCACACAATGGCTAATCATCACGATTAACCTGCACCGTGAACCATTAAGACAATGAAAATCTGTCCCTCTGGAACAAGGCGTGAAACGTGACTCTGTGTGTTGAAACCTGAAAGCATGCACCGACGCTCATTGTACCTGCGTTTTGATGATGTTCACGAGGTACTTGTCCCGGTATATATGCACCTCGGAGTTAACCATGGCCACCAGAACAGCTTTGAAGCCTCGGCCCTTGTGGTCCATGAGCTGCATGGTGGTTATGGCGGCCGGCAAGTTGACAGTCCACAACCTTTTTCCCTGTGATCCACCGTCACCAAGACAGGAACACTCATGGTCTCCGCTCATCTACAACGCCACTGGCTGTCCTCTGCATTAGCAGGGATGGATGTGGTAAATTTGAATAGACTCGGCTCTGCACAATAACAAACGATTGGAGGTGTGACTTGTGTTGGAATGGCAACTTTTAGTTCATGAATTTAAATATGCCGAGTTTTATATGACAGGAGTTTAAATGTCTACAACTTACGAATGTGGTGTCAAGATAGGTTTAGAATAACATGATTGTTTAAACCATACCATTCTAGGCAACATTTAGCAAAAACATAAAACACATGAAAGCAACTTAAAACAGGGATCTCTATGCATGTGTATGCAATGGTTATAACAATAATAATCTTTACATGTATATGTCGCTGCTTAAATGCCTCAGCAACTCAAAGTGCCTTGCCTCGCATCTAATCTCCAACATTCAAAGGGCACCCCCAGCTGCAGCTTGCAAGTGGGCATTAGCTGGCGAGTGAGGGACGATTATTGGTACGTGTAATCTCAATTTTTTGCAGGTAATCTGTGGCAAATTTGGTCCATGATGCCTGCACACAATGAATGGTCTGCCCATTTAGAATGATGCCACGGGATGTTTAATTTAAGTTGGGAAGCAGGCAGCAGACATTTATGATTAATATAACAGCCAGGGTGCCATTTCTAATCCAAACTGCAAACCTCTGCAACAAGCAGACGAGCGTCCTCCCACTGGGTCATGTCACCGAGAACAAATACAATAAATGCTCAAACTCAACGCTTGTAGGAGCTACAGTGGCACGGGCGCACCTTCTGCGTGTATCCCTGCAGGCTCTCGTCCATGCAGCCCACCACCACATTCTTGTTGACGCGCACAAGCCCCACGGGCTGCGAGCTCAGCTCGATGCAGTGTCGCGGCTTCTTCGAGTCCCTTCGACAGGATACGGGAAAGCGCACGGGCATTCGGGTTAAGCGAGACTGCACTTCAGATCGTCGACACAAACGGGCACTGCCGATGGCCAAGGCAGAAGTCGCGCTACGAGGCTGCACCCTTTCCAGCTGCTGATGGATCGTGCTGTAATTTTTAGGTAAAAAAAAAAACACATGCGTTTTCTAAAATTCTGGATGGAATAAGGGCAGCGTATTACGCCAAGTGAAAACAAACGTCTCGTGTGCCAGCCTCATTTCAAGCCAAGTGGATTCTCACTCGCCAACATACTTCCGGAGTAATCTCCTTTGTAGAAATGGGATGCTCGAGCTCATATAGAGTGGATACAGAAGGATTATTAAACCCATTTCATGGGAACTGAGATCGTTAAAAACTTTTACTTAAATGAAAATAAGTACGCAGCAGCTAGCACTGTCTTTCTTCAAAAGAACTTATCTCTTGTCAATGCTCACAATGCTTTATTTCAGGACATTCAATGCTCCACGTGCACGTGTGCTGCTAGGTACCGCTTGAGGGTGTAGACGTTGCCGTTGCGGCAAGCCACCACCACTCGGAACTCAACGTCGAAGAGGCCGGATACGTCCACGAAGACGGGTACACTGGGCAGGCTCATCTGCCGGGACGCATGCAGTCCACCGTCACCCTCATGTCGATTAAGGTCCACGCTGTTCACCTCATCTCATTCAATTACAACTCAAGGAGTGCTGTCTTCAATTAACCACGCAATTGCCTGAATGTCAACACCTCCATTATATACAATATACATATCGAACATGTTTCACATTGATGGGAACGTCTTTGTAGACTTTCACCTTAAAAACATCTTCCTTTACATCTTCCTCTATGTGTTTCCTCCATAATTGTGAATAGTGCACTACCTGGGCTATAGTTTCCTTAGATATGTGTGTATGTACATATAAAATCCAAATTTACAAAACGTTCTAATTCATTAGATTTGCAACATATCTGCAAGTGGGCACACACTAAAACTGTGACACTACTTTAAATATAAAATCTTTAAATGTCCCGTTATCTAGAATCTCACAAGAGTTGTGATTCTACAATGCATCAACCCAAACAGATGGTGATAAATAAAGCAATATATAAATAAATATATTGTATATGATCATTCACAGATGTTTCCACAAACCATTTGGCATCTTGCAGGACTGTGAGCGTCAGCTCTGGGTGTGGGGCGAAGGGTCACGGGAATGGAAAACTGTGCAAACTAAATATTTAGACTCTGGTGCTCAGTGCTTGGAGTAATAGCGCACAGTCACACCAAAGATTTCTTTCGCTGTGATTAGCAAGAAACATGTGATCCCTATTCAAGCCCGAACACACAAAAAACATGTCAAGTGCATTGAAGGGTTCATGGTACATGCATTGAATCATAACAATTATTATAATTAACTCATATACACGTATGTAAGTAGAATTTCTTTCACACTTTACGTAGCCAGCCGTGCTAACCATGAAGGCACTTTGGGTGCTACATTTAGTACAACAGAAAAAGCAATGGTTTCTTGAATCAAATCATAACTCCAAATGACGAGAGTTCATCGATTTGCAAGGGGGTGATCATCGTTAAAAGTCTACCCCCGAAACCGCGATCCCAAGCGAGGGTGAGGCATGAACTCCCGTGGGAAGTGGTGCACGTTGTAACCCAGCACTTCAGAGGCAAGGGTTGATGTACCTCGTAGATTTTTCAAACTCACCAGGCTGCGAGGTGGCCACAACAGAAAATCTGTTCATGAATCCATCTGTGTGGATATTTGAGTGTTATCCCCTTGGAAGTATGGGTTTATCTGAGTACTCTGGTTTCCTCCCAACTAAAAAAAAAAACTCCTTAAAACGGAACTGGCCAAGTATTCCAATGCAGGAACCTCCAGAAAATGAATATGGAGAATTAGTGAGGTTTCATAGCTAAATAAACAATATCCCCATTGATATCTTGGCACGCTGTGCATTTGTAGAACAACGCGGTGGCTTGGGTAGGGCAGGGAAGGGCTGTAGCTTTGCACACACTCACTTTGGCCAGGATAGTGAAGGCCTCGGGGTCCAGCACAAAGATGTCAGAGCTCTCGGTGCCCACTACGAGGCAGCTCACAGCGTCTTCATCCGCCAGGCTCTTCCGCAGCGTGCTCAGGCACGTGATCACTGTCTGCAAGTTTTATCAGCAGATAACAGTTCACCCCAAGACTCAATTACTCAACTGGGATTGTTAACACCTTGCTGAATGAGACTCAGTGAGGCTTTCCTGGGTAAACAAGCATAATAATACAATTTGGGATGAACATTGCATAACTGCTTGCATGTATGTATGTATGTCTGTCTCAATGACGGTCTGAAGCCCAGATGAAGTTGACTATTCTTTCGTTGTGTGCTTAAAATAATTACAGAAACGTTAAAAAGAATTGCAAACATGCTGTAGAAACAAAGCGAGATTAAAAAATCAGCGTTCTTTTAATAAGTTGACGAATTTACTTAAAACGTGACCAACCTTGAGTTATGAGTTACGGTGTTTAAATGTTGCGAGGCTCAACTGCGTGCGACTCGGGTGACACACATTTACTTACGCTAAATATAACAACCTAACCTCATTGTAACAAAAATAAATAAATGTTCTTTTGCACGATTTCACAAAGAAGCATCCTTTGTCTGAATACTTTTGAGAATATATATATACCCTTTCTGGCAATAAAACAGGTGTTAAGATGTTAAAACACCAAACTGAAACCTTTTGCAAGGAATCATGTCTGCATTAACCACATATACTTGTGGTGAACATGCAAAAAAAAACGTGCTCTGACAGCATAAGCATTGTCTTTTAAACTGATTGGTCCATACCACAGACAGCTTTCTTCAGAGCCTCGTCTCAAACAGCATTAGACCAGACGACGCCAAAAGGTGAACAGCACAAAGACAATGCCACTGTCAGGACATTGAGAGCTCGGGGCGAGCAGCTACATCATGGGACCTCCCTTGCCAGTATTAAGATATAAGAAGAGGTTTTACCCTTTCTGGCATTAAAATAGGTGTTAAAATGTTCAAGTAAGACTTCTCCACAAATCTGGCTGTCGCCTGATGAAGCTAGTTGTAATTACTGGCGAAACGTCGAACTCGGATTGTAAATGTTGTGGCTTGGCTCTCCAACACACCGGTGTGCTGTACTCATGAAGAATTGGCTCGTTCTGTTTACGTGACAACCCTTACTAGTTGGCTGTGTCGGGTGGTGGCGGGTTTTAATGACGCTTTTATATATTTACGTGATCTAACCCAAAAACCTCTATTATGGATGATATTGGTCGCGAAAGCCTACGTGTTAAACTGTATTTATTGTATAAAGTATTTGCCCTTGCATTTGTGGCTTAGTGTCATTTTTGTAATTCTATCTGGTTGTGCCATGCCTTATCATCTATCTTCCATAGGTGGCATTTTGTATTTTATTAATTCTCGATTGTAAGAAATGATTGACAGATTTAATGCTTGAAATAATAGTTCACATATGCTATATAGAATATAACCAAACCCACAGTATGTCATTATAGGGAAATCAGAATAGCTTGGATATATTAATAATGGTTACACATGTATCTAAGCTCCAGTAGAGTTAGAATCTGTGCAAATGTTGGTGGAAAAAGAGTCGTGCATAACTCTCACTATAGTTTGGTTCCATCGTGGCCAATATCCAGTGACTGCTCAAACTCCTCAAAGAGCTGACAGAAGCAGACACGTGGCGCCTCCTGCACTCTCATGCCCGAGCTCACGGCTCAGTGTTGCAAATTAGGGGCAATAGCAGACTAATTGACTGTCAACTAATGCTGCACGTGTTAGATGTGGCATTTTCCGACATGTACAACGCCAGTGATACTTATCATTAGATATTTTTAATAGGACAGTACTGAGCCCTTCATTTAAGAGCATTACAAAACAAGTATACATTTCATACACCCAACACAAATGCACATTTACACTAAAAGAGGCACGAGATCGATATAAGGTATTTACAGTAATCTCTTGAGCTTGTCCAGAGCAACACTGCCCACCAAAGCCGTGCACATCCACAACAGATTACCGCAGCCTATCTGTTTCTTTGGATTCAGTGGAAGGTGTTCAAATAAAGCATTGTGAAGATGTTATTGCATCAGCAGCCTCAACATCATCCTATGCAATGCGGTGGCCAATATAGCTTTGCCATAAAGTAGTTAGGTTGCATGCAGCTCATAGGCAAGGAGCTTTACGAATGCGGTAAATCCATTTTGTGGCTTGTTGGGTGGTGTACGGGTGAGTGTGGCTTGCCTGGCGCTTGAGTGGCGTGTGTTTGTGAACGGCAGCGAAGGCTGCCATCTCCTGAGGCTCCACCATGAGGAACCTGTCAGCAGCATAACATGTTCTTAAAACCTGGGCCAGACACAAGCAGAGGCTGTGGAGCTCTGGGAAATCATCCTCATGATTATGTACCGATCTATCTGGCCTGGGATCCAGGGTTCAAGGCTCGGGTTGCCACCCAAAAGGATTTTCTGTGCACAGCGAGATGAGATGTTCTCAGCCCAGTTGCGAGCTGCCATGCGAATGAACAGAAGTAACGTGAATGCCACCTACAACCCTATCAGCCACGCGTTGTTCAGACACAAAATAAAACACCAATAGAGACAACAAGTAGGAGACATTGAGGATTAGCCAGGGGAAGTCCAGAATGCAGGAGATATACCGAAAAGGAGACATAACTCTATTGTGGAAGAGGTTTTCAAATAAAGAATATAGCTTCCTACTGTGATTAGCACAGGTAACAGAATGACTCATTCACTAAAAAATAGAAACATAGCTAAGCTAATTATGATGTGTCAGGTGAACATAAAAACTCCATGTGATTTTAATATGACAGTGTGATCCTTTTTTTTCTATTATGCTCATTTACCCAGGAAAGTACGTACAAATGTTACCACTGCACCACTACAGCATGTGGCTAAGCCTTCCATAGCAATATATATGCGATCTCAGAAGGAAATGTGGCTGAATTATGTGCAAACGCCGAATACTGTAATGCTTCCCTTGGAAACCCTATGGGCAATATATATTTTTTGCATGTACTTAGAGATGGATATGAATTATATGCAAATATTAACTGTGTTATTTAAAGCCATCACTTAGGAAATAGATTAACTTAATTAACTTAGTATGTGTGAGATTCATTTTAAAATGTATAAAAAAACAAACACACAATGTAACTGGGTTTCACCAAATATCCCAATTCTGAAATATACCTGCAAATTACTAAATTGGGATTACATATATCAACACCGCCATCCACTTAGAAAACTTGGCAGGACCCTCCTGAAAAAAGCCTTCAGGCTAAGTGAGGCTTTCCAGCATTGGAGGCTGTCTCATTACTTTTTAGGTATACAATAAACCAGGCCAGTCCACTGTATGTATATTATTACATAAATGCATCTCTTGAGACACAGCAGTCACCAGTCAATAGCAATATTTGCAACAACTAAACAAGGACAAGAGTACTCAGCAGTAGGCTACACCGGACGCATTTTATAATGCAAAACCAGAAACACGTTGTTACGGTGGCCATTTGATGAATAGAGGACTATCACTCATTCCAACACAAATATATTTTTGGGTTAGAACACGTAATAACTTGGCTAAATATCTCCTGCAAAATCTTCCAGCACACGACACAGCCAAACAAATTCTATAGTCCACGTGTACAAGCATTCAATGCACCAATTTTAACGCACCAATTAACCCACAAATTGTTGTTGTTTCAGCTCACCAATAAGCTGAAGAACAATTCTCACAACTCAATCTAGCAATTAGAAAAGATGCTTCACTTGAAACTATGTCAAACATCTCCAGGAAAATCCAGGAAAATTCATAACCAAATACAGAAAGTCAGAATAATTTGGCCAGATCATTACATGGTCCAACCCAAAATCAATTATGAATAATATTGATTATGAAATTCTATGTGCCCCATGCTTTTGTTTGTTTGATACGCATAATGGCACAGCATAGACTTCATAATACAAAGTGCAAGGCGAGTGTATGGCTTGTAGCTGATGCTGCATTGCACAAACAGGACTTACTTTAGCGATCTGACAGTAAGAGGGACGTCTCCTTTGCTCCTGCAATGTGTGACAGAATCGGAAGCAACAACATTCTGCATTGGTACAGCACAAGGAAGTGAAACATTGGCATTTTCAGGAAGTAACCTTTCATTCTGAAATCAAAACCTCAATCTAACTCACTTGATCCTAATCTGGATCCTATTCAACTGCTCTTGACTATAGATCCCAAACCGTTTTCTGTTTTACCCTAACCCCAGCCGCAAATATTTTAAAAAGTTTACCTTCATCATTTAACAAAAGTCTTAAAAATAGTAATGTTTTAAGTGTGGAATTTCCTGCACCGCGCAGGGCTCTAAACAGGAGATGGGCATACCCTCAATGCTCATTTGAGCAGGAACCCATTTTGACTTGGACCTAACAAGAGTACTTTTGGCATGTCTTAACATGAACACCGATTCAGGTGACAATGCTACGTATCACTTCAATGCACCATATATTTTTTTCAGGCAACCCTTCATTCAACTCGGCAAAGTAAATACACAGAACACTACGAGCAACAGTACTTGTTTAAAATCACTCGCACAAAAAGAGCTTTAAAAGCTTCCATTTACCGTATGTTTTCCAGCATTTCTTTGAGAGCCATGTAGTCGATTTTGTCCTAAAAATTACAAGAAACAATTTTGGAAGCCACACATTCAGATACAAATATTGCAGCATCATCCCCTGGGGGCTCTTCCCAATGTGTTGTTCGGCTCTCCATTAGTCCATAATAAAGGTTTTTGGGTTAGATCGCGTTATTTATAAATGTGTCGTAATCCTCCACCACCCGACACGGCCAAACAGTAAAAATGTGTCACGTTTACAAAAGATAAATAGTTCACTACTTTAGTGTTCTGAACGGGCATATCTTTATCTCAAAACATAGCAGTGACAGCACGGTTCAGATTTTTCTGGTGATAAAAAATACAAATAATATGTAAGAAGTTACACTGTGTTGTCATGAATAATATATACAGAAAGGGTGTAATGATGCAGAAACGCCTATCAATATTCTTCAAGACGGCATAACATTGGGATGTTTAGAAAATTAAATGAATGAGTGTTCTAACAATGGGAGTCATTGGGAAACACCAAGATACATGTATTGAACAATTATTTTAAGAATCAATGTTTTTGTTTATGGAGAGTATATGCAAATTATACATTTAGGCTAATAGGGTGAATGCATGTACACAAATGAAACAGATTAAATGATAAACAAGACAAAATAATGTACGCTAGCGACAAAAAAGTTAATTTTTTCTTGAATTGACAAAATCGATTGGATTGATAATCACGATAAAGTTAATGTCAGATGGTTAAAGGGGCTCATTTACCTCTCTCGCCTGGATCCAGAGGTCCATCTCCAGCTGGTTGACCTCAAGTGGTGGCAGGGTGAACTTGAAGTAGGGCCGCAGGTTCTTGTAGACGTACACGAAGGGACCCGAGGCGACGGCGATGGCGGGCGAGCGGGGCTCGTTGGTGTCCATGAAGAAGGTGGCGACGCCGGTGGGCAGGTCGATGAGGGTGTTCTCTACGAGCGGCGCCGTGCCGCGGAACACGCGCAGCTTCATGCTGTACGCGCCCGTGCCCAAGTCGGCCACCACCAACTATATGCACATAACCAGAATCATGAATGATTTATATTCGGGTTGTTAAATGATAACCGGTAAACTGGAAGCCATGTCCAGTAAGATATTATAAATAAAGACGCTGTTTTAAGAAATGTATCCTATTGTTTCACCTGCCGCCACTAACAGATGACCTTTAGATTGGAAGTCCAGTGAGCTCACCATTAAACCACGACAGCGCCCTTCGTTTCTCAGTTAAAAAGTTAAACATGCAATGGATATTTCTCGATATTTCAATATGTGCATCAAACCGGTAGTCGGTTTTTACCATTTTCTTACAAGTTAAAACTATTTTATGAACCTTAATTTATTGCATTGTCATCATTATCATCAGCTGCCGTGGAGTAATGATTAGCACACTGGACTGGCCATCCAAAGGTCACTAATTCGATTTGATCTCCTAGGGTGGCAGTTGAAACAATGAGGAACGTCTCTAAAATCCCGGTCTCTGTCCACCTCGCAGTATAAATTGGTACACCACATGATAATTGGTTCTTTACCCTTCTATCTGGCAACAAAACTGACACCTTTTTACAAGGAGTCATGTTTGCATAGACCACACTACCTGCAGTCATAAATACAAACAAAAGACATAACTCTGATAATGTGCACTGTCCTTGAAGTTGATTGGTCCACACCCGAGACAGCTTTCCTTCGAGCCTAGTCTCACATGGGTTGGACCAGAAGACGCCAAAAGGCGCACAACTCAAAGACAATGCACCATCAGAGTATGAGAGCTCGGGGCAAGCATCTACACTATGGGGACCTCATTTGCCAGTAAAAATATGATAATTGGTTCTTTACCCTTCTATCTGGCAACAAAACTGACACCTTTTTACAAGGAGTCATGTTTGCATAGACCACAATACCTGCAGTGCGCCTTTTGGCGTCTTCTGGTCCAACCCATGTGAGACTAGGCTCGAAGGAAAGCTGTCTCGGGTGTGGACCAATCAACTTCAAGGACAGTGCACATTATCAGAGTTATGTCTTTTGTTTGTATTTATGACTGCAGGTATTGTGGTCTATGCAAACATGACTCCTTGTAAAAAGGTGTCAGTTTTGTTGCCAGATAGAAGGGTAAAGAACCAATTATCATATTTTTACTGGCAAATGAGGTCCCCATAGTGGTACACCACAGTTAGTCGATCAGCAGGTTGGATGTGGTGGGGAAAATGTGAGTACGCCCATCTCTTCTACCACGTCAGGTCAACGTGGAAGGGTAGAATAACCTAGAGCGTTCGCTCTATTTGAGGCTCTTCATGCAGCAGTGGCTTAGTCAAAGAATTGCAGGGCTGCACCTTTACATTTTACCTTTATCATCATGATGCCGCAAGTAGATGTAATACTAAATAAAGGCACATTGTGGCCACCTGGATGCTAATGGGATACTACCGGGCCCCAGTGTTCACTGAGAGCTCGTAGTGTTGACATTCTGGGTTCGATTGCGGGTTTCAGCCACTCAATATTAAACTGGGTTCTTAAGTTAAGAGTTGATGATCTCCGTTCTTTCATCAATAATTGTAACAAAAAATTCAATCATAGTAGAATTTGGTTTTCACTTTATTTGGCATATTTTCAGCAATGAGGACTAAACAAAATGATAGATTTACATGACAGCATAATTTTAATATAATTAGGAGAAACGACCCAAAATACGTAAAGCCACATTCACCTAATATTTTTTTGCGTGTCTAAGCGTTATGTAATTAACATTTCATATAGCCATGTAGCACTTCGTTTTCAGCAATTAAAAATGTAAGTAACACTTATAATGTTTTATGCTACACGTTTTTCATGGTGCTTTAGCTAAATGCACGAGTTGTGGGGTGTTATCATAGCAGGAAGGTGATGTGCCCTGACCATACCTGCACATACCTTATTGTCTCCATCTCCATGCAGATCTGCCAATGCTGTTGAAAAATAAATGCAGGCAAGTGTGAACATATAAACTGACATCATTTCCAATTCACTTTACTTAAAAATTAATGGATATTTTTCATTATCAAAATGACTTACAATATTAAAGATATTAAATTCAATGTAGTTGTTGCTGTCAGGTGATGATGTGTCCCGAATATTGATTAATAAGTGGAGGAAGCCACGTAATAAAGTATTAACTATTATGAAAGTTATGATTTTGGCACAGTTGTATATGTAAAATTTCACAGCTGAGGTGGGGTAAAAAACCCAATAACTCACAGAAAGTTAACTTAATAAAGTGGGTTGGCAACCTCCCCAGTTTTCAATAAAACATATTCAAATAACCATTTAAAAGTAACTAAACCTAAACAATTTCATACTGATTTTGATTAAACTGAATTTAAAACGGGGAACTCAGTTTGCACCAGGACAGTGCTATGCTCATGAAAGAATTGGATGTAGAATACAGCCACGTGGATGACTTAAACCACAAGCAGCTGATCTACGATGCTGGGGAATGGCAAGGTGAAAGGAAAACCACGACCAGAGTTACCATCATGGTGCCCCAACACCCTTATCATCAGATCGGTTATTAGAGATGAATGGATAAATGTGGACATGCAGTGGCCTTAAACATTGTGCCAGGAAAATAAACTTGAAACCTCAAAGTCAGCCTATGATCTGTAACCATGAAAACAATTTAAGTGGTGTGGACACATTGACAATAAGTCAAATTGACACAAAATACCAAGTGTCATCTATCCTATAAGGCAGCTGCATGTCAAACTTCGCTGTACAGCTCACCCATGCATGACGTGAAGGTGTACAGGTTGGCCACGGGGTCGTAGTGTGCATCTAGCCACTTGGGGTTCCCCTCCACACTGCAAACAGAACATCGCTCCACGTCATCCACACAACACACCTTGCCCTTGGCCCCACAATGACAACAGACACTGGCTATCTACAAGCGATATGCACGAGAGCCTGGTCAACCCTAACATGACTCAACTTTGGTCAAAAAGCACGGGCCTGATGTCATGTCACCGATATTGCTTCCTTTGACGTCATATTTTCGATCAATCAGGAACATTTTTAAATTTGTATCGCGGCAAGGTTTTCGAATTCCTGTGAAGATCTGGAACACATGCCTAGGATCCACATATTGTGACACTTGTACACGTGGACTATTTGCCAAATGCTACAATTACATTTGCAAGGCTTCTGGTAGCTAGTTTTATATTTGGGATTCCATGCTTTCACCAGGATGGCAGAAAGTTGTATCTTTGTTCAACTTAAAAAAAACATGTTTGAAGTGTTGATTCATTGGTGAAGATATGTGGTAGGGATTGGGGTTATTACCAGAATAATACACAGAATGGGATTAAGGAAATTGAATGGGATCCAGATCAGATTTGGATAGGATCAGCAAAGTTTTCCTGGCTAAATTACATAATTAAATAATTTTATATTATTACAGCAATAATTTCAAAAATTTGGTCAACCATAAATACATGACCATTAAATGGTATATATATTTTTTATATTTTACATAAATATCTAATATTGCATCCAGCCAGGACCCTTATATTAAAGTGAAGGTTCTTGCCTATAATATCTGGCAGTTAATCAACATTTATTTAAGACTGACTCTGCTGATGAGACATTGAATGATGAAAAACGGCCAGAGTTTGCTCGTGCTGATGAATCAATGCTGCTGAAATCATGCTCTCAGAAGCCCATATGACTGATGGTTTGTGTCAGAAATACTTTTTTTTATGTAGACATACATCGGAGAGACAGTCCGCTTACCTATTTCGTTATTTATTGAATGCTGATGATTTTGTGTTCCAAAAAGTATTTAAAATTGAGGGTTTTTTCTCGATAAACAAACTATATATAGTTGTGTTAATGTAGTTCTCTCCAAGGGTGGTTTCTTGCTGTGGCTATCTTTCGCAGTCCGTGACTAATGAGTAAACACCACGTCACGTGTCCAAATGAAGTTGACGAGTCGAACGCGAAGCGCCGATGCTGACACCACCGGCAACCTTCCCCCCTCGCAAGCTCAGCCGGGCTGAGCCTGGAGAGTGCTCGCCATGGGAGGCCACGATGCACCACAGCAGGCGCGATCGGCGCTGCGTGGTGGGCAACAGAGGGCAGCGCAGCAAACCTCCCCCCGCCTTCATCAAGCCGCAAGGACCACAGTGGTGAAGTATGGCAAAACAACCCTCGCAACCTGCACAGCGTGGTGGATAAGGCCCCTCATCCAGCACTGGATAGGGCATGGGGAATGGAACCCAGGGAGCCGAAGGCATTCCACCCACCCACCGCTTAAGTCGATAGCAGCGATGTTGAGCGTCTCGAACTCACCTCCTCTCCTTGGCGTCTGCGTTCTCCATGGCTGCTCGGATTTGAGGAGACGCCGTGTGGAGGGTGACACAGTGCGGCGCTGTGCAGACACTCGCTGACAACTCTCCGTGCAGAGACTCCGAGTAGAGAAACTCTCCGTGCAGAGACTTAGAGAGACACTCTCCGTTACGTTCACGGCCTCTCGCTCATGGGCGCCTCCACCGTCGCCTAGGCTACCAGGGCCGACCTTTAACCCTCCGCCATGACGTCATGAACGCCCCGATGGTTTGACGTCATGACATTACGACATCTGTCTGGTGTGGTGACGTCACACGTCAGGTTCAAGTTGATTTTGATTGACGATGTGAGAACTCAGAGACCAAGATTCGATTCTCATTTGTAAGTGACTTGAGTCACCAAAAAATGAAAAGTAATGCAATGAAGCAAATAGAAATAGCGGTGAAAGCAACTGTCACATGAAAAGCAAAATATATTGCGCACAAATATCTATTTTACATTATACATTTCCTGTAGCGCAAATCTGGTTTGGGAAGATCACTTTCGGATGGTTATAGCAGATTCTATTGAGTTACAGAAACATGTAACAGCTATACCGTGATGGCAGTGACCAAGGACATTTCTGTTAATAGTCCTTGGGCCAGACCAGATATTGGTACCACCCAAAGTGGCAAAACTTCACTGGTGCCATTTTATTTGTTACACCAACATAAGTAAAATAATACATGGTAGTTATTCTTTGGGTCTCTCGGTAAAGTCACGTAGACATAAAAAGTTATAACAATAAAATAAAATGAAAGTGATTTTTTCTTTAAACATCACGACGTTTCGATCGCAACGCAAGCACAATAAGTATAACTAGCAGGCTAATTATGAAAACCCTGTTATTTTCATGGAGAACAAATGCTGCCCATTTACAGCTTGCTATTAATATTGCTTTGATGTCAGTTATTTACATTAAAAGGTAGAAAAAGAACACCAACGAAACCACAAATATTACAATCCAATTCTGGAACACACAATCCAATGCTACAGCAGTTGTGCATTAATGCACTAAACTGAGACTTCCTGGAACGCGAAGTTCCCGCAGTGTGGAGACGCAGGGCACAACAAATCAGCATTACTTTGCACGCTGGCCAAGAGATGAGCTTCAGGACAGCTAAAAAAAATGGGTGCCTCCGATAATCGCTATTATATGTGGTACAATAATATCCGGCCGCATTATTTTGAGGGCACAAGTATATGACTTGCTCAATTCAAATGTTGGTGGGGAAGGCAATTTGCCTTCCCAACTCTATTCCCACACCATTGTCAAGACATGGTTTGGGTCTACAGGTACTGAAGTATAGCTTACACAAACACAACAAAATCCGTCTATGCTCACTGACCTTCACATCTAATGTGGTATAAAGTACAATGTATCATTCCATATTTCAATGTTTTATATTAAAGAAAATCCATCTTGAATTAACCACATTTGAAATTAAACTACATTTATCAAACAGAACACAAAAGTACTTAACAAGAATGGGTAAAAAGAGCATAATTATAATACGCATAAATGAAGCGGCAACATTTACAAAAGGTTTATTTCAGCACTGATTCACACAATCTGCAATCCACCATTAGAGTACACTATACATTTATAACAAATTAAACCATCAAAGTGTTCTCAACTTAATACAAATAAAAAAATGTGTATTTGATCAATTCCGAAAGCATATGCACTGTCATGCGCATAAACTAGCAACTCGTGACATGTAGGTTTTTACAGCCATTATCATTTATAATTGTTTTTTGAGTCAGACCACATAATGGTGTGGTCAAATATCTGTAGTCAATTTAATGATTGGTTATGTTGGGTGGTAGAGAGTCATACAGCAGAAATGTTGCCAGATCATCACGTGGCCTAAACCAAAAATCTATTTAGAAATTAGAACTTGCAACTCAATTGGCATGGTGTGATTATGACAGACACACACGCGTCTTCTGTGGAGAATTGTATTGCTTTGAAGTAACAAAATTAATTTTAACACCCCAGAACTGGGAAACATTCCCATTGAATACCAGTTTCTCACTCGGAACTACTTATGTGGTGTTTGGACCCAACTTCAATGTAATGGGCTGTGAAGACAAAAAAACAAGTTATTTTGGTATCACATATTTTAAAACCTTACAAACCAACCTGTAAGCAGTACAATAAATGGTGTAAAGTATGTACAATGAATTACCATTTTTACGTAATTCTTATAATTAAAATACATTCATTTGATTCTACTTAGAAGCTGAAACTGTTGAAACAATTATAACAAGGTATTAGCGAAACAATGAAACATTCACTCATGGAATAAATACAGCCATAACCAGGCTTAATTCGGGTGGCAATGGAAAATGTTGAGGACTCGTACTGCCAGATTGACTACGTTGTCTCATCCCCATGCTGTGCTCAACAGCTCACAACACTTCTCTTTCGGATTCTTCCCTCGCACCACTCGCCGATGAAATTCCATCCCATTTTCTCTTTTCTTAAACAATTCAAGAAATGTGTTAACTCTAATCGATTACAACTTTGATAGTGCTGTTTGCTGCTGTATGGCTCTCTGCGATTGCTGTTCAATTTCGTTGTTGCTCGTATTTCCATGCGTGCCACTGCCGCATGTTTGCTGCTGTTGCTACACAAGCCCCCTTCTTTCATGTGCCGTGTTGCAGAGATAAGCAACACACTGGCTGCCCCCCCACCCACGCTGTTTACGCCGCACAGCTTTCCTTGCTTCTGCCCCGCAACTCTCGTCCTCCACCCACTCACAACTTTGGAAGCCCTTATAAGCAGTTGCATTTGGAGGCTTGCCCCCTCTTTTCTCTCCGCCTGATGAAGACCGCTTGTGTTGCGCTCGAAACGTCGTGGGTTTTTAGTTTTAATTATTTATCAAATTTTTATTTAATTTTATTATTTTCTATCTCCGTGACTTTACCGAATGAACCAAATAATACATTGTTGGAACAGCAACAAAAGGTATACATCAATGTTTATGTTATTTAGCACTTCGACAGCATTGGTTGTCATTTATCAGCAATTGATAAAAAAACACATGACCCTTTTCAAATGTGGAGTAAAATGCTGTATAAACATTACGGAAGGAGTAATTTGTGCGAATACCTTGCTGCAGTAAGGACACTTTCCAAACACGACGTTGAAGCTCTGTGTGCACGAGGGAAGAGACCTCAGCCACTGCTCACATGGCAGACATCAAGACACAGACGGACACATTCACAGTATCCAGACAAGTCAACTCTAGCATCCAGACAAGTTGTTGAAGAGACAAATGGCACAGGGTGCAAAACCAGGGTCAAAATACTTGGAAAATGTTGAAATCTCTGTGGCTTATCAGGCTACATGGTTGCACTTCCGTGATTATTTACCTTTTCAGTCCGGTGGCAAGACAAAGCAAGTCCAGGTGTTTAATTTAAATTGTGACACATTTATTGCTTAAATGAAGTCACAAGCAGGTGTTAAATAGTACAAACATTGAATTAAGGTGTTTATCAGAAATAATTGATTTAACAAAGAAGATGACCTCCTGTTTTCATTATGATGGAGACAGTAATTAAAATCCTTACATAATTATGCATACGACAGCAGGTGTCTTAACGGTGAAACAAGCCACTGTCTTTGAAGCTGTTGTCCAAAAAGATTACACGAATTAAATAGTAATTAAATTCTGACACACTCCAAGCTGAAGTATTTGTGACTTAGAGAAACTATGCATGGGATGGGCTAAATGTATTTTTGATCATACATTCCATATATAAGGAAACATTTGATTTGTGGCATGGCAGTATATTTACATCTACACAAATTCTATACGATGGGGTAATGTAAACCAGTGCCTATTTAAAGCAATCTAATTTGGATAATTCACTTTCATGTTTGAGACAATGCTTTGGCCATATATCCATTAGGTGCTTGCCTACCTATATGGGCCAACTTTCATTAACAATGTTGTACCTCTCCTGTCAGAGAGTAATCAGCAATGAGTGATACACTGCGTGGGTGTGTAATTTATGCTGCTATTTTTTTTTTGACTCGCCACGATTGTGCGTCAAAATTTGGCAGCTCATCAAATCCCATTCAAAGATAAAGAGTTAACTCTTCTCAACACCCTAGCATTTTAAATGCTCAATTGTCATTCTTATAAAGGATTTCCGATACTGATTTTTTCATACGATGCATTCATTTTCATTAGGTAATCTAACACCCATGCTACTTCTGAAACGCATCAATCCTGTCTGTTAGTTATTTTTCTGTTGATGGTTTATTTGCTGATGTTAACTGGTGAAGCACAAGATTTGAAAGCATCGCTAAACCTGTTAATCTAGCACGACGCTGCCCCACCATAATCAGCCGCATTATCTGATGCAGCCAGGATGACTGTTGGCTGTAACGAGATTTAAGCTGCCATCGTGTCCGACATATCGTTTTTTTCACATTTTCAGAATGTTTAATGTTATCGGCCGCTTTGTACAACGCAATAACATGACACAGCGTTGCCGTTGATGCCGATTGTGGCCCTGAAATGTCATATTTTGATTGCTGTTCCATTTACCGCTTCTAGAATGGGCTTCATAAGAGGATAACATTGCTTAAAGTTGAACCGATTGCAATGTAAATTTGATGCGCTATCGTAAAAGCAACACAAATTATTTATTTGGCAAGTTTGCAACAATTAACAAACATACACTCACTATTTCTCTCAAATCAGTACATTAGTTCGTATTTGACCAGGTGAATGCAATAAAGGTTGTATGTTGGCTAATTAACAATACTATAATATAATAATTACAAATGCCTGTTACATTTTTAAAAACCTATTAGTGAAATTGCCAATTAGACCACAACCTAATCTTAATACGAAAATATTAGTAATCAAAATCTGTCATCAAAACGAAACAAAAATTAGTACTGGCAGCTTTAACATATATACAATGAAGGAAGCATGCCAATAATATTGTAGCCACGGTGGCATTAGATTCAGAAACATAGCAAGATCCCACTGCTTGTTAAATTTGAGTCCAAAAAATTAACTAAAAAAGCAGAAATAATATCCAATAATTGCCCTCAGTGCGACCAATCAAGCAGTTAAAATTCACAATGCACACACAGACGGCTTGGCGGACCTCGTAGAGGCAGGCCTGGTGGAAGGGCTGGCCACACCGGGGCTCGTCGCACACCTGGTCAGGGATTGCCGCCTCCAGCCGGTATGCATAACAGATGCCACACTCCATGCTGAAGTCCTGCGATGCACACAAGTCAAATGTCCTTCATACAACCAAATTAGTATCCAGTGAAAGTATCTCTTTGTTAGAAGGGTGCTGCGATTGTATGTTTGAATATTTCTTTGTGGCTATTTTGCACGTCGGAGGAAATTGTATGTATGTACGTTGAACTTTTTTCGCACCATACGTAGCCAACCGTGCTGATCGGAGGTGCTGTAGTAGCAGAACACCTATACATATACTGCTTTCCACAGGCCACCAAGTGACCTGCCGATGCCATGCTTCAAACATAATAAAATATGTAAACAATAGTCCTGTCTCCAAAAACAAGGTATTCAGGTCTACCACCAGCTTTACATTACGTTGTGGGAGACTTTATAATTTGCAACTTTACCTATACCGTCAACACCAAAATATGTATAGGTCAAAGCTCAATGCAATCCCCAAATTGCAAATTTACAGATGTATGAAAGCCAATTAAGTGTAAAAAAACTGTAATTTAAAAAAATATTTATATTTTTTCCACAGTTGATGATGAATCACAATGGCCATGTAGTGATGTGAGACGGCGCTTGGCGTTTCTACGATTCACTGCAACGGCAGCAAACAGTTAATGAACCGAGGGAATGCAGCTGCGGCAGTAATGCGTGTGTCGGTGAAAGCGAATGCAGCCTTACGGCCTTGCTGTGGGTTGCGGGCGAAGGAAGCTCAATCTCCAGCAGGTGGAGCAGGTTGTGCAATACTGAGGCTTCAGGATGCCTGTTAAACGGACAAATGTGGTCATTTCCCAACGTTATATCGAGTGCAAGTATAAAAAGTGTAGATGCAATGCTTACACGAGCAAGCACCGCCAACAGTAACTTCAGCCACAACCTTCACACGAACTGAAACTTCTACTGATGCCTGTTACTCACCAGTGATGCATATTTGCACTGAGCTTGTTCCTGAGAGGGGTGACCACTGAAAAGGTAACAACATTGTTGTGATACAATACAACTTCATCTTAATGCAATTGTTTTAGCAGATGGAGTTTATTCTTGTGGTTCTGTTAACAGAAGAATAGTTGAGGAGACGGCATAATAAGGTACATTTAGACTATTCTGTAGTAATTTTGCAACATGACATCACTCAGATAACCGGATTACAACTTAAAAGACATACACAATGGGGATACCAGTTGAATATGAATTAGAAATAATAAAATATAATCAAAGAAAGCAGTGCCATAGTAATTAACACACTACATTGTAATGCCAGCGAACCAAATTGGAAAGCCTGCGATGGCCAACAACGATGACGAGTGAGATCATTTAAACTGATCCTGGATCCACACTTCACCAATCCACACTGACCAGCATGGTGAAGTATGACCAGACAACTCCAAGGAGGAGGCCTTAATCCAAAAGTGAACAAAGGGGTGCCTTAGCATCGGTTATAGAAGGGATACGATGGATGTATAATAGTATGGGTTGGGTTTAGAACAAAACCCATGAGCAGTGGATGCCATACCGTAGTCAGCACCTAGGAAGCGACATTCGGGAAAGGTCTTGGGATGCTGTGGGTCCACCTCCAGGTGCAGTGATGCACTATTGCCTGGAAATAATTTTATTTTCAATGTGTTTTTGATAAAAAAAAAAACAGGGACATAGATATAGAAACATTATTCTGTGTTCACATGTTACTTTTTTCCCATAAGCTAAAAACTATACTCCACTTTCCCCACACACAAGTACGGTGTCAGGGAAATGGTTGTGCATGTCTGTAATTTAGTAGTTTGCAGCTAAGGGATGGTGAATCACATGGATTTGTGAAATGCCAGCTGGGCTGAGCTTTGGGTTGGCCAGAAAATAGTCATATGTAGTGGATTCAACTGAGGCGCAGATGGACTCTTTGGAGGCAACACATTTATTAATACCAACACATTAACACAAAAGGGGTAACTGCTCCTTTATACAAGATAACAACCTATGGTGGTGGACCACCAGGCTAACTACACGAGTTACACTGGGAGTAGCTACAATGGGCAGGACCCCGGCTTGAGTCCTGGTCCACGTGTTGGTGACTTCTTCTTGGACGTAGAACGTAAAACGTAGATCTTCAGATGACAATGCTGCACCCCGGTCCCTCTCGGGGACCCGGCTTATATGCCCGCTGGCCGTGGCTGGCTCCGCCCTTGGCCACGACCACCTTCTCGAACCCTCTAGCAGGATCTCGTCCCAGCACGTGACCACCCCCAGCCCCCACTTGGGGCCCTTGTGTCGATCTTACTCGTCACGTGCCTTCCAGGGTCAACCAGAGTGCCATGGCCTGGGGTAACCTCATTCCATGGCTGACACTCCCACACCCCGTCCTGTAGGGGTCGGCACTGCACGCCACGCGTGGTGCCACCCAGCGCTATGACCCAGCGCTCACCGAGCCCCCACTAGGGTTGGTCCTGCACCCACATATACGGGGTGTCCGCGATGGCAATGCATCGCACGCCGTGCCTCGCTAGAGCCGGCATTACCCAGTGACATCCACGATGTCGCTACACACGTGATGTTCGCGATGTGAGTACATCGCACGCCGTGCCTCTCTAGGGCCGGCACCACACAATGACATCTGCGATGTCACTACACATACAATGAGTGGGTTCATAGACCCATCTGTACAAACCTTTGGAAGTGTATTTCCTGTTATACAAAGTATTTCGCCTAGCAGGTACTTCAGTTTACTCAAGAGCAACATGTTATAATTTTAACCAAAGCCGTTGATACCAATACACATACCCTTGTAATTCACTGACCCGCTCCTACTGGACATGTGAAAAAGAGCTTCATAGTTCATCGCATTCCTCCAGGATAAATTCAGATTCTGATTCTGAGATATCGTAGCTGCTGCACAGTCGACTTGTGACCTCCAAGATCTACCTTGGCAGTGTCCTGCCAGTTGGTCCCAGGTCTACCCCTTGATCGCCACAGCGTTCATTTGCAAAAACACTCGTGAAAGGAATTGGCCAAATCTCCTAAAACAAGACCCTCGTAAAAAGTCTGAAGACGCATGGATAAGCAAATTATGATATTATCCCTGTTATGCCCATGGTGTTTGTGGTAACCACTAAGGATGGAGATGCTCGTGTGTGTTGCAGACAGACCGATGGCGATGCGGCGTGTAGTGGAAGCGCGGGAGGGCTTCTCGGGTTCCAGCACCCAGGTGTTCCGGTCGATCTCATCCATCGTGTCCCAGAAATCCTTCAGGGCTTCCACGGCTGCCAGGAAGTGACTTCGCATGGTGGCCAGGCTGCTCTGTAGGCGCACGGCATTCACGTGCCATTCACATGACTTTCACGAGCAATTCACATGCCATTTCAGTGCTATTCACATACCAGTCCCATGATATTCACTTGCATTCAGGGCTCGGGATTATAAGGCAAGGTGAATCCTTAGACGACTCACTACAGATAAGTATAGTGCAGCAATTAAAAATGCTCAAGAACAAATGTTGTGCATACATACCAGAATTACAAATGCAAAGATAGGAATGTAAAGATGATCAGATTATATGAATGGCATAATTTGCTAAATTGTATACATGTATGATAATTTGCATTTGTCATCTATATGCTACATTATTTCATTAGATTAAAAGGTTTTACAATGGAAATTAATCCATGAAAGTGTCTTAATACTGGAAGACAGATATATAGAGAGTTACCAAACCTCTTTAGAATATTGTAATCAAGCATTTGCTTGCAGAACTCAGTAACGGTAATCAATCAATACTGGTTTTCAGACATTACAATATCCTTGACAATGACAAAAAAAATCAGGCTCCTATTATCACACCATGTCACCCACTGTATTGGGTGGGAATGTGTGATTATTCACAAGTGGGGTGGATACACAAGGTGGAGATTTGCTTCCCGCTGATCTGCGTTCATCAACTATAGTATGTGTTTATCCACTGTGCAATTAAGTGGTTGGCAAGCTGTAGCAGGGATATTTAACAAACATGTAATAAGAATAGCAGGTAATTAAAATACTGTCTCTGACTGCTAGGCCTTGATGATGTATGCTCAGCTCTTGTTTTGTTTGTTAAAACTGAGTGGGGAAGAGGGAATTGCATACGAACAAGCCTGCAATCACGCATATTGTTTGTGGTCAAAGTGATGCGATTTTAAACGTAGAAGGAAAAGCTTTCCAAGTTACTGACATGTAGATGACATGATATAATTAAGACAAAAACTATTGTAATGGTCTTCCTAGTATCATTATCAGTCATCATCTATCCACTGCTGAATGAAGGCCTCACCACACCAATCCATGTCCCTCATGGTCTCTTGATGACACAATCCATCTCGCTCCTGCACGTGAAGTTATCTCCCTGCTCTGTTTCCCCAGTGGTGATCTCATCAATTGGCTACAATTCCATCAACGGCTTTGTCCCCAGTAATCATTCCTTCTTGCGGTGCACCCTGCCTAAAGCCCTCAGTATATCTCGGATTTGCATTTATTCTCTGATGCACGTGTTTGCCTTTTTTGTTTGTGCAATTCCAAACATGCATCTGTCCAAGTTTATTTGCATCATTATCAGCTTTTGTTGGATTTTATTTCATAGTGTCAATGTTTCTGATGTATGACATGGTCGAAACGATGCACTAATTGAACACGTCCTTCTTGAAGTACATTGGTTGTTGTTCCTTGTCAGTGTCATTTTCATCTCTTCATTTCATCATTTTAATCCTTGTCCTCCGTCCGTAATTGCCTGAGGTATGGAATATATATTTTGCCTTTGTTTCCAATTGTGTCGAGTCAACAGTTATTTGGTATCCAGTTAACAGATTAAAAAGCACCTTAAATAACATTAAACAGTGCATCTCAAAAACAAATATACAAGGTATGTTCATGACTCTAGATAACCTGAAGCGTCAATAGTTTTAAAAACTGTGTATTAAATATAACTACTTAGTCACTGTGATGTTGTTTTATCTTTGGATGTATATGATTAATGTGTCAGTGTGATCAGCAAAGTATTGTCTCTGGTTTATTTACAGCAAATACTCTTACTTGTGGGGTCCAGTGAAGGTCAAATGTCACAGGGATATCGACCAAGCATTCTGGAGCCTCAACAGGGTACTGTGGACAACAACAATCATAAAGGAGATCCCATTAGTATGCAAACACAACGCTTACACACCTCCACAGACATCTTACTTGATTTTCACCTTATAAAAAATTGTAATGTAGCCAAGCAACAAGACTGAAAGCATCCTCTGTGCACGTGGCATGACTCCTTGCGCAAGAGGTGCCAGAAAGGTAACAGATTTATCACCGAATGCCCTCTTATATGTGTAGTGACTGTGAATGTCACTGTGTGGTGCCGGGTTTGCAAGGCCACGGCAGATAATGTGTTGTCATTATGTGCTGCCCGGTTACTGGGTGCAGACCCAGCCCTAGCGGGGCTTGGGTGAGTGCTGGTCAGCGCGGAGGCACCGCGAGCAGTGTGCGGTGCGGGCTCCCGGTGAGGGAGCGAGAGGGAGCGTCAGCCAGCCAGGATTACGTTGGGGCATGACACGCCGGTTGACCTGCCGACACGCGACCGGATGATATTGGAGGGGGGCCACCGGTGGACGGGGGGCCGCTGGGCGGTCACGTGGTATAGAGGAGCTCTCGGGAGCCTTCGGGACAGAGCTCGAGAGATCTAGAAGGTGGGCGGGGCGAGGGGCGGAGCCAGCGCCAGCCCGGGCCGATATAACGGGGCCCCGTGGAGGGGCTCGGGGTTCTTCGGGTTGTGGGTGAAGAAGATCCACGTCGGGTTGAAGAAGCCTCTAGCCACGCAGTCCGGGACCCAGCTCGTGGTCCGGACCGGGATAGCGAGACCGTGTCTACTTATGCCATAGCATGGTTAGATGGGCATTCAACACCCGAGTGTAGGTTACGTTATGTTGTGTTGAGTTGTTGTAATAAATAGTGTGGCTCCCAAGACAACGTCTGCGACTCAGTTGGACTCACTACATATGTATGGCAACTGAGCTTGGCTAAGAACTGTAGTCAGGTCCATGTTTCTCAACATTTTTGGTCTCAGCAGCATGGCAGGAGCCGCCATGTGGCTTGACACATACAGGTGTCAATGTGTCTCCTGTCAGCGCAGCTCACAGGGTCCAGTGGAAGATTAAAATGAGGGCGAGCGACCACTGGCATTCAGAGAAAGGGACACATTCATTTTTGTCCGTGCACACAATTACCCAGGAATCGTAAAGCCAGTCACCCGCACCGGCTGTCGGGACTGACCCAGAAAATATTTTCTGAAACGGATGAGTAGTACGGACAATAAATGGATCGTGGAAAAGAACTGTGCAGTGCATATAGAGATATATGCTGTATCCAATTAACAGAACTGTCAAGTATTCCATTAAATACTGGCACCGCTATTTAAATGAGAGACTAACACGAAGCACAATTATACAGTCAGACTCACGAGGGAGCGGGATTTTTCAGCACACACTTTAGCCCCATTACAAAGTATTGAACGGTTAAGTGTGCTAATTGATCTACATGAGCTTGTTGGCCTTAACACCATACATCCTGTTGCTAATAAGCGTGAATGCACTGAACAAAATCTATTCTCTTTGCAGCCACTGCCAGCACACCTATCTGTTACCCTTTGGAAGATATTTAATTGGGTACAAATATATCCTCTCAATTGCACGTACACGTATCAGAATCACAAATACATCGATCCTCGATGAAATGGGCTACATAAATGGATTGCTTAAGTCTATCAAGAAGAGAGAGAGATGATGTTCCTGGGACACATCTTGCAGAAACCTGGAGACTGCCTGGAGAAGATGCTGATTCAAGGCTCAGTCCCAGGAAAGCGAGGCTGAAGCCAAACCAGAAGAACCATGATTTGATGACGGTGTATGTGACAAATCTCAACTCACAAGAACTGTGGTGTAGGATAGTACATCTCACGGCCATGCCTTCGGATCGTGGGAGGCTAGAACCAGAAAGGAATTTTATATATACTTATATGTACTTATCAGGATAATAAGGTGTTCTCTACGACTTATCGATGCAGGCCACTCCATGAGCCCATTCAACAGCAGTGGGAGACTGAAATCTATATATGTTATGCACTTTCCATGCACACATCTTGTGTGTGTAGGATTCATTATATTAATTGTATCTAACATTCATAAACTACATTCAGGAGAATTACAAAAATCCATTGGCAATGTGATGGTGTATCACGAATCTTATAATCCACAGCACACCGTGATATAAAATAACTCCACTTAAATTTGCATAGTCTGTTGATTTTAGGAGTTTTTGGCCAGGCTGCAAAATATTATTGGAGGACACACTTTCTGAGTTGTTGTCTATATGTATATGCATAGAGTGTGCTATTTTGGGCTGTTTATCAAGGCGGATACCACAGGCAAATGGTTTGTGATGATGTTATCATAATATTATAAGACTCAATTTGGGTAACAAGAGTGTCTGCTCTTAACGCTAATCTAATTAACTTACTTAGTACAAGGAATAAAAATGCTATTGCAGAATTTTTAAACCTCTATCTGAAAGCTGACCAAGAAATTGGACCAAATTCTTTGGTGGGTGAATACCTGTGGCTTCAGGTTGAGGGTGATGGTGTGCGGGCGTCCACTTGTGTCCCAGAAGCTGAATCCAATAGTGCTGAAGTTGGGGTCGATGAAAGTTAGCCTGCCGAAAAAAATTAGTCTGTAAAATGAAACTGGCTGCCCAAATGAAATGTTTTTATTTCTAAGAATGTAATTTCCATTGCACACATCAGAGAGCGAATCTTTCATATCACGCATTGCTTGATTTCATTGTAAAGCAAGTGCGTACATCGCACGTGAGTGGTCTGAATGTGGTAAACAGGCACCCAAAGAAGCTCAATCCAAGAGATCACTTCATTTGACTCTACTGTCAAATGTAAAATAAATTGGGCGCACACAATTCAGAGGTATAAAATACCTAATACAGCATTTAAAAAAATAAATTCTGGACTTTTCACATTTTTATGCAAAATGTGCATCACTGATCTGTCAAAAACAGCTCAATCCTCCATTAGAATTCCCCACATCAACAACCGAATATCTGCACATAAACCTGACATGGGACACTTCTGGAATCATGATTATACCTCTCGCATTAACCTTCACAAGGTCATGAGTGAGCAATCTCGTAAACACCGGTGCTAGACACTGCTACTCTTACAGCAGGTTAGGGCATGCGTGCAGAGCGTCAAATTGTGCAGGTTAGGAGCCTCCCCTCACATGCATGGTTTTCAAATGCCTACATTTGAAGAGTTTTTACTTCTGAAATTTTCTTAAAAACTATTTGTGCCAGGAATTGGATAAACGATCGTGTGTCTGTTTCACATGCTGTTATTGTTATTAGAGTCAGCGGGTGGTTGTATTGGCCCAGCTGTCAGAACACAGGAGCCTGTTCTTGCACAGCAATGCGGCACCTTTAATGTGTGCAAGCAGACCGCCGCGTAGATTGCCTGATGTCCCCAAATCAGCCAGCACACACAACAGTGCAGTACAAGTGTATAACCTACATTACGGGTAAAACCATTTAAATACTGCATTGTTTTTCGAATATTTTAATCAAACCAAACGTAATGGTATGTATGTTGTGCGTCTGGAAAAATAAATCTAAAATACTTTTTTTAGAGACGGCACAAAGTGGCGTGATCTTTTTGCTGCATTCCCAGTGGAACTACCTTACGAGGTACTTCTACCACGGAGAATGTAAGGATTCACAGCTTGAATCCCATATCGATGTGGTAATGTTATGGACCATTAGGAAAGCATGCCATATGTTGAAAGGAGGATGTTAAAGACGATAAGACATCATCTGTAAAAGTAGGCCATTGTGTATGGGTGACCATTGCTGTAACACCAAGCTTTAACAAAAAATCACGAAAATATGAAATCTTAATAACTACACTTTCCTGATGTTATTAGACGTTTCAATTGATAATCTGAATGCATTAAGTCATTGGACCCTCACCTTGTTCTAAGCAGACTCAGATTGACACTGCAGTGCTGACAATAATTATATAGATCTTTGTCAATAAACTTAAGAATATTTCCAAAACATGTTAATCTAAAAAAATTGTGCACAAATACATATTTCAACGTACGTGTCTGGTGTTGTAATTACAAGTCACAATTTTTCTTGCCCCCACTTACATTTGAGAGTTTTACTCTAAATTAACATCATATGTCCCTGTATTTGGCACATCTGCCAGTACATCCAAAAGCTTGCCAATAAATCCCTTCTGTGCCTACAATGCCAACCAGCTGCAGTATGCTAAATAAAGAAATGCTATACATCTGCAAGAAATGAACACAACACATATGGCAAAGCTCTCCTACTCCTGCACTTACGTTTCCCATCCCAGGGCCTCAATTTCTCCAATGAGCCGCGAGTAGTAGGAAGGAGGTGGTGGCGCGTGCAGTGCTCTTTTGCTCCTCAAAGAAGCCTCCTGGGAGACACGGGGCGGTACGAAGGTGGCACAAGTCTACAATGAAAGCCGGTACTTTCAGTGGAAAGGGGCGCTGCTAGACATCTTAAAATGGCAGTACACCAGGGTTACACTGAAGCACCGACACTCACCAAGATCATCTTTAGCTCCACGATGAAGTCTTCTAAGGACTGGCTTTGTTCTAGCCTCTGAAATACATAAGCATACCTGTGATATACCAAAGCGTGCATAGCATGTTTTATCGTATATTAATAATGCAATTTAATAATTCACAACCATTTTTTTTAATCCACTATCTATGTAGCTCATAGGGGTTGTTTTTATCATATTTCACCAAACTGGTTGTCATGCAGATTTCTAAAATGGGGGGGGGGGGGGGGGTGCTCAGGGATGGTTCAGACACCACTTGCCACCAACGTTAACCATGGCCAGGAATCAAACTCAGGTCGCTGGATGAATTGCAGAGCACTGATTGCTGCACCACTATGCGACTTATTTATAGTTCTGTAATTCACATGACATTATTAAATGCGGTGCCCTATTTTAGAAGTGTAGTATGTTTTCATTTGAAAATATGAACTGGAAAATATATTCATGACAAGGTAAAATTATATGGTAAAACATGTGTCCAAAGAGTAGAACACATGTTCACATCAAACTTTACAATGTCTCAAGCATTACAATGTTGATAACTGAAACATTATATGTGAACAATTTTACACTGACAATTGTACAAAATTTACAAAAACAATTAGTGTTTCTACTGGTATCCTGAAGATTTCACAATACAATTTTTCTACAGAATTACAATGCTATAAATCTAGACATTTTACAGACAAGTACTGTAGTATATTATAAGACTAAGGTAAGCAACAGCCTAATGATTTGTGAAATAAAATACAAAAGCAAAAAAAAATACAAGATCAATTAATTATTATGTACTGAACCAAAACCAACAATTATAATTGTACGCCTAACCTGGTGAAAGCCATTCGAGATGCAATTAGCATTCAAAAAGTGTATTTATTAACGTAGCCAAAACTACCTGCTTCACAAGTGCCTGGTGGCCTCGGAGTGCCTGCTTGAGCTGCCAGCTGCAGTGCAGCCTGGCAACAGAAGACATTGCATTTCAAGTCACTGAGAATCTGTCAGAGACAGCAGATGATCAAAGTTGAGCTTTTTTTTGTAGGAACACAATATCCTAGTGAAACATTTTATTCAAAACATTTAGATCAGTAAAAACTCTGCACAACGGCTTCTGAGTAATGAAATCACACAATAGGCAGTAAAAATGTTTAACATTTAATGTTGAATGCATGTATATGTTTGATTGTGAAAAGGTGATTCGACTTGGTTGAAAGCGATTGTCATCCAAGCTGTCTCTCAAACCTTGGCCTAAATATAAAACAAATATTGAGAAATACTATATGCCATAAAAAAATTGAACAGTCACATATTGCATGAAACAAGTACCAAGCTACATGTTAAAAGTGGAGTCACATAAGTTGATGCACTAAATCACAGCGACATTAGAAGATATTCGTTGAAAATCGGATTGGAGAAGAAAAAGCATAAATACTAATCTAGAAGACATTAACCATATTAAATGTATTGATGACATTGTCATTATAATGTCCTACAGGAATGAACTGCAATAAATGATACAATAATTTAATAAAAACTCCTGTAAAGTTGGGCTCAGGATAAATATGAAAAACACAAAGGTGATGGACAACAAGTTCGCTAAACGATTGGATATATATATTTTGGACGGTCATAGCTGGAAACCAAATCAGTATATGTATACCTAGTGTGGCTATTAAAGGTGGGCGGGGATCCAAATGATGAAATAATGACGTGGACAAAATTAGGTTGGGGTGCTTTTGTAAAAAAAAAATTCATTATGAAAGTAGCATAATAATACACCTGAAGAATAAAGTAAAAAAAAATCAGTGCGTACTCCCTGCAATGATATATGGTTCAGGCACATGAATGTTGAAGAAAATGCAACAGACTAAAAGTGCGCATGGAAGCTTGGAGATGCATGCTTGGAATTACATTAATAGACATAAAGAGAAAAACATGGATTTAGAACATAAACAGGTGAATGAAATCATTCAAACTGTTAAGAGAAGTAAGTGGGCTTGGGCATGACACGTGACTTTCAGGGATGATGGTCGATGGTGAAGAGTAATAATGGAGTGGCAAGCAAGGAATGGAATGTGTGCACATGAAGGATATCACTTTCCCACCCGCCCTTCTACAAAGTGAAACGCTTTCTGAACGGCTGTCAGATTGATATTTCAAATTTTGACCTGGAATTTAGCCAAACTAAATTTAATGTGATGTATTTTGTGGTCAGTGGTGACCAAGGTGTGATGATCAACTCACTATATGCTTGAGAACCCAGTTGTAATCAGGATATCAGGGGTTACCAGCTCAAACGTCTGACCTCCGAACCACACGGCTACCTCTGGTTACACTGTAATTTTAAAATCTTAAGTATGAAAATTATACGATAACCAACTGATGACAGAAAGAAACTGTATATGTCACATTAAGTACGTGACAGTGATGACTGATGTTTACCTTGCATTTCTCACTTGGCCATCTGGTGGAAGTGCAACATGCAACCTAAAATCTCTTTCCTAAAAATCATGAAATGATAAATCTGTAAAATTAGTGTGATTCAAATGGAATAAAAACATATTTCTTTCATTCATAAACTAATGAAAAATATTATGATGCAATTATTACAAGGTTTACATTTAGCATATTTATAAACATGCTTTCATCGAAGACACTCAAGAGCGCTTTACAAAAACAATGACGGCATAATTTGATTGGAGACATTACCGAAAAAAAATAAAACTGCGGCACAAAAAAAGGAAAAATATAGCCACTGCATTCCAAACATTGGCATGGTTCAGTCATAAACAGTGAATTGACCAGACACACGAAAGGGCTTCCTTTAAACCATATTTATAAAAGTCACTGTCGTGAGATCGCTCGATTAAGACTGTTGTTGTTCTAAACAATGTGAATGCAACGAGGGCTTACCCTGACGGTGATGAAGCCGTCATACAGGGTGCCCTCTTGGTTGAGCGGCACAAGCAGAGGGCACTCCTCCTGCAGCATCCCACTGCAAGCCATCACTCCTGCTCACAAACGACTGAACAATTGGATATTTATTTTATGCCAACTCTGTGGCTTACAACCATTTTCATGAAAGCCCACTTGCGATATGCAGTAGTTTTCCACATTTGCTAATATTTACATACGAGCAGATCAATAATAAATTAGCATTACTACAATTAAAAAAAAATCTGCTGGTAACGTTATTTTAATTTTAAATTTAAGGAATAATTTGGTTATACCAATGTACGCGTTAGTACCAAATAATGTAATTCTAAATGTGTTTCATTTACAAATAGGCAACATGATTAGTGTACTCCTGTCAGGATCTCCAGCCTCCCCACTCTGCAGTAGCAGATATTTTAAAAGCATGCATTAGTAAAGTGTATTACATTATATATATTTCACTGATATGCAGTTGTTAGGTGTTAACTAAATGTATTTGGTGGATAATTACGTGTAAAAGTCACGAGATTAGAATTGATAAATATATTTAATTATGTGCAGTATATGTATAGGATGCTGGCCAGGGAACCGGCAGAGTTGATGGGTTGTTCGGGTGGACACAACACAACGTTGGAATCCACGAAATTACACAACATACTGCAATACAAATCCCCATTTTCCTTGGGTCTTTCTATCCACGTGACTTTACCGAAAGACGCAAAGAATACGAATTCCTGCAGTCCCAACAGCTTCAAGTCAAGAACAGATCCACACGTCATGTGAGCACTGTCCCCCTCCTCAGCATGATGGGAGAGAGACACATCATTTGACGAGTGGGCAACAGCTTTGCTCTCGAACCCCCACGGAATCGCAGACCCCCGAATGGAGCACAAACATTGGTGGTCCTTGGACACCGCAGCGGGATGCATGGCAACACACCGCTACAGAGCTCAAACTAACCCATGGTTCATCATCATTAACAGCAAATACAAGTTTCAATTACAGAGCCCCCCCCCCCCTCGTATTCACCATACTTCACCCTCCTCGTATTGATCATACTTCACCCGTATTCACCATACTTCACCACTCTCGTATTCACCATACTTCACCCGTATTCACCATACTTCACCACTCTCGTATTCACCATACTTCACCACTCTCGTATTCACCATACTTCACCCGTATTCACCATACTTCACCACTCTCGTATTCACCATACTTCACCACCCGTATTCACCATACTTCACCACTCTCGTATTCACCATACTTCACCACCCGTATTCACCATACTTCACCACCCGTATTCACCATACTTCACCACCCGTATTCACTATACTTCACCACTCTCGTATTCACCATACTTCACCACTCTCGTATTCACCATACTTCATCACCCGTATTCACCATACTTCACCACTCTCGTATTCACCATACTTCACCACCCGTATTCACCATACTTCACCACTCTCGTATTCACCATACTTCACCACCCGTATTCACCATACTTCACCACCCGTATTCACCATACTTCACCACCCGTATTCACTATACTTCACCACTCTCGTATTCACCATACTTCACCACTCTCGTATTCACCATACTTCATCACCCGTATTCACCATACTTCACCACTCTCGTATTCACCATACTTCACCACCCGTATTCACCATACTTCACCACCCGTATTCACCATACTTCACCACCCGTATTCACCATACTTCACCACCCGTATTCACCATACTTCACCACCCGTATTCACCATACTTCACCACGCCGGGCAGCGCACTCACGTGCAGTCCCTGCGAGGCGGCTTCCGTGCCCACTCCGGTTGCCAGGTCAGAGGGAAACGCAATGGGGGAGATTCCTCCACATTCAAACGAGTTAATAAAAATCGAGGTAAAGTATATACACGTAGGCAGCCAACATGCATATTATTTTCAGATACCAATTTTGTATAAATCTCACGTAACCAATTCGCATGACCCCATGCATGTGGATCTCTGTGCGTCGTGGCGGCAGCAGCAGCAGCAGCGTTCAGGAGCTTCGATGCCAACGTCGAGGACGGCGAGAGGGCCTCACAGAACGGGACTTTCTTCGCTTCAGCAGCGGGAGAGGAGAGAGTTCGTGTGGTCGTGTAGTCGTGTAGTTGTGTGATTGTGTAGTTGTGTGATTGTGTAGTTGTGTGATTGTGTAGTTGTGTAGTTGTGTGATTGTGTAGTTGTGTGATTGTGTAGTTGTGTGATTGTGTAGTTGTGTAGTTGTGTGATTGTGTAGTCGTGTGATTGTGTGATTGTGTAGTTGTGTGATTGTGTAGTTGTGTAGTTGTGTGATTGTGTAGTTGTGTGATTGTGTAGTTGTGTGATTGTGTAGTTGTGTAGTTGTGTGATTGTGTGGTTGTGTGATTGTGTAGTTGTGTAGTTGTGTGATTGTGTAGTTGTGTGATTGTGTAGTTGTGTGATTGTGTAGTTGTGTGATTGTGTAGTTGTGTAGTTGTGTGATTGTGTAGTTGTGTGATTGTGTAGTTGTGTGATTGTGTGATTGTGTAGTTGTGTGATTGTGTAGTGTGATTGTGTAGTTGTGTAGTTGTGTGATTGTGTAGTCGTGTGATTGTGTAGTTGTGTGATTGTGTAGTTGTGTGATTGTGTAGTTGTGTGATTGTGTAATTGTGTAGTTGTGTGATTGTGTAGTTGTGATTGTGTAGTTGTGTAATTGTGTGATTGTGTAGTTGCGTAGTTGTGTGATTGTGTAGTTGTGTGATTGTGTAGTTGTGTGATTGTGTAGTTGTGTGATTGTGTAGTTGTGTGGTTGTGTGATTGTGTAGTTGTGTGATTGTGTAGTTGTGTGATTGTGTGATTGTGTAGTTGTGTAGTTGTGTGATTGTGTAGTTGTGTGATTGTGTAGTTGTGTGATTGTGTGATTGTGTAGTTGTGTGATTGTGTAGTCGTGTGATTGTGTGATTGTGTAGTTGTGTGGTTGTGTGATTGTGTAGTTGTGTGATTGTGTAGTTGTGTGATTGTGTAATTGTGTAGTTGTGTGATTGTGTGGTTGTGTCGTCGTGTAGTTGTGTGATTGTGTAATTGTGTAGTTGTGTGATTGTGTAGTTGTGTAATTGTGTAGTTGTGTGATTGTGTAGTTGTGTAGTTGTGTGATTGTGTAGTTGTGTGGTTGTGTGATTGAGTAGTTGTGTAGTCGTGTGATTGTGTGATTGTGTAGTTGTGTGATTGTGTAGTTGTGTAGTCGTGTGATTGTGTAGTTGTGTGATTGTGTAGTTGTGTGATTGTGTAGTTGTGTAGTTGTGTAGTTGTGTGATTGTGTGATTGTGTAGTTGTGTGATTGTGTGGTTGTGTAGTTGTGTGATTGTGTAGTTGTGTGATTGTGTAGTTGTGATTGTGTAGTTGTGTGATTGCGTAGTTGTGATTGTGTAGTTGTGTAGTTGTGTAATTGTGTGATTGTGTAGTTGTGTGATTGTGTGGTTGTGTAGTTGTGTAGTTGTGTGATTGTGTGGTTGTGTAGTTGTGTAATTGTGTGATTGTGTGATTGTGTAATTGTGTGATTGTGTGATTGTGTGATTGTGTGGTTGTGTAGTTGTGTGATTGTGTAGTTGTGTGATTGTGTAGTTGTGTAATTGTGTAGTTGTGTGATTGTGTGATTGTGTAGTTGTGTAATTGTGTAGTTGTGTGATTGTGTGGTTGTGTGATTGTGTAGTTGTGTGATTGTGTAGTTGTGTGATTGTGTGGTTGTGTGATTGTGTAGTTGTGTGATTGTGTAGTTGTGTGATTGTGTAGTTGTGTGATTGTGTGGTTGTGTGATTGTGTAGTTGTGTGATTGTGTGGTTGTGTTGTTGTGTAGTCGTGTGATTGTGTGGTTGTGTGATTGTGTAGTTGTGTGATTGTGTAGTTGTGTGATTGTGTGATTGTGTAGTTATGTGATTGTGTGGTTGTGTTGTTGTGTAGTCGTGTAATTGTGTAGTTGTGTGATTGTGTAGTTGTGTGATTGTGTAGTCGTGTGATTGTGTGGTTGTGTGATTGTGTAGTTGTGTGATTGTGTGGTTGTGTGATTGTGTGGTTGTGTGATTGTGTGGTTGTGTGATTGTGTGGTTGTGTGATTGTGTAATTGTGTGGTTGTGTGATTGTGTGGTTGTGTGATTGTGTGGTTGTGTGATTGTGTAATTGTGTAGTTGTGTGATTGTGTAGTTGTGTGATTGTGTGGTTGTGTGATTGTGTGGTTGTGTGATTGTGTGATTGTGTGGTTGCCCCTCCGGTGAAGGTGCACAGACGACACAGTGGTTTTAATCTAGAACCGCGCTGCTGCCGTGGGTTTAACTTTCTAATTCTGAATGAGATGCGCGCACCGGCCTGCTGGTGACGTCTGATATGGCCGATGGTCCCACCAGAGTCTTCGAGGTGGATTGTCGTCACAGCCAGGAGGTGTGCGATGGTGCACCGTGTGAATCGATTGTAATCGATGATGCTCGCGCTCTGGTGACCTGCTGCTGCTGCTGCCGTGGCCGCCAGGGAGCGCCATTGTACCACCGGTCACAGCTGTGGGTCTCGGGCTTCTGAGATGTTATCATTTCAATGTAACAGGAACGATGATAATTAATATACATATCCTTTGTCGCTCCACTCGCTTCTTCAAAAGCACTCTTCTCGATCTGCTCATTCCCGCGCATTACAAGAGTTTGTGTTTTACTCAGTTATTTTACAACTTCGATGGTGCAGTTTGTTTCTGGCTGCTTCGCGTTTTGGGACTTTGCTCAGCAACTGTTTACAGAAGTCATCACCGACTCTCGTCCGTCTCCTTAGTTAATATGTTTTTCACATATAAAATAACTGTACGTCTTGTTTACAAAACATTGTGTTGGTCAAGAGCAGGTCTCCAAGAAGGGCAACGCGACGTCCACAGCATGGTTTTGTACCTGGATGCAGTGTCCAGCAGGGCCAGTACAGCAACACTGATGGTTGTACCGTACTTGTATGTTCTCATGTCTGTGGTCTCTGGCTTCACTGCACCCAAGTGGTCAGGGGATGGCAGTACAGGAGTGGATTCGTTAAATATATCTGGGCGGAGCTTTGAGCGTTACCCTCTATTACGTGCGGATATTTATTTAGGCGAATTCAGATTCCTTTCACCTGCCAAATCACACGTGAATTTAAATGGCCAAACATCCCAGATTGGATCGTCCTAAAAAGAGTATTGAGATTCAATCAGCCATCCCTGGGCAAAGGGCATCATTATTACCTACTTGGCTCCAACGGGGGCTCCTGTGTATCTGCAGTTGTATATTAGCAATGGCAACCGGGGAATCACAATGACCCTATTCCCGCTGCCACATGTGGAAAGGCAATGGGAGATGTTGGGATTCGCGGGATGTCAATGCTACCATTGATGCCCTGTGGTGATTGCGAGCCACATGGCCCACCCCGAGTGCTGATGGTGGCCACTGCTCCATACGATCCGTTGCCTGTTGTGGACATGGCCTGCAAGCAGGCGCGTGGCAGCAGGCACGTTACAACTTGATCCACATTTGTGTTTTTGGGCCAGGCCACGTGATGGTAGTTGTCTACACATTTTTTATCATGAACCCTCCACCACCCAATGCGATTGTCACGTTTACAAAGATAGTATTTATACCTGGAAATGTATTGATCAAAGTCTAACTGATAAGCTCCAGTTCACAGCATTATTTTTATATAGTAATATACATGTGTTTTACAGAGCTTGAACATAAAACAAATACCTGTGGTATTAACAATGCCCTTAGACATAGTCTGCAGAACTAGATATCTCTAGCAACCTCTTTCAATCCCTTGTTGAACGAAGACCTGAAATGGATACATTTGCCTATGATTCTTCCTGCATATCTCCAATTCTCACTTCCACTGTTGGTGTTTCATCGCTCCGTCTTTCGCTTACCTGTCTCCACCTTGCACGCAGGCCACCTCTTAACCACGACCCAATCCCACAATGTCCTCCCCCTGTCATCGTTGTTTCCCCCTCATCGATCGATCAACGCACACCGTTGGCCACAGTATATGGATCGAAGATGTGATCAATGGCATAAAAAATAGAGAAACACATCTGAGAATCGCTTAAAGGCAAATAATACGTGGCAGGGTTAGAATAAACGAAAAATACACGGACTGCATGGAGAACAGAACCCAAATGTGAGACATCACACTCACCATTAGAACAAGTTCAGCTGGCAGATTGCTGAATGAAACGTGGCAGATGATGGATAAACACGTCTCCCCTCTGCACGTCTGTGGCAATTACTATTCTGGCCCCACATGAAACGTGGAGCGCATTCGTATGTCTCGAGCGCGGTCCCGCTGTGGATCTATAAATGACTAAATGACCGCTTTCAAACCTGACGATGAAAATGACTGCAATTAAGTGTCAGGTCGCCATTGTTGGCGCGGAGAGGGCTTCTGTGTCGTCTTTATTTGCAATTAATTATTTATTTCTCTGCCTACAAAGGTGACCCGCGTTGTCTCTCCCTGTGCCGCGTGTGTGCCAAACACTTCACCCTGCGCTAAGTGGTGGTTGTTGAAATGTGGTGGTGGGGGGGAAGGGTGGTGGAGGGGGGGGCGCAGTGGGGGGGGGGGTGACAGGGTGGCAGGAGGACGGTGTTGGCGGGGAGGTTTTAAGAGAGGAGCAAGGGGGTTGGTAGGAAGTGGTGATGGTCTTGGGGCCACTGCATCTAAAAACACACACACAAGGGAGAGAGGGGAGTTAGTGGAGAGGTGGAGGAAGAGGGGGGACAGTAGCAAGAGCACATCGCTGATGAGTGCAATTTACTCCCCACCGGCCATTTTCAGTGAAAATTGTCCCGCGCATAATTGCATGGCTCGGAGCTGTTGTCTGGAGTGTATGGCCAGGTTTGTGTGGCATGCCTTGCTTGCAATAGGGCTGCAAGCTTGCTTTATGGAACACGCAAGTGTATAGATGCACACACTTTCACGTTCTTACATTATGAGGAATTATACAGGTCTGTTTTTTTTAAGCGTGAAAATCCCATGAAAATTAACATGAATCATATGTTTTAAAGGGGGAATAAAAAAGAATTGCTGATAATGGTCATTCCCTAATAATAATTTAATAAGGCTAAACTAATTCACGTTTTAATCATCTTAATGG